CCCCCCCCCTTCTCCTTGGAGACTATAGATAGAGTTTCTGGTTGGGAAACAGTCTGAGGGTGGGGTGGGGTGCTTAATGGGGTGGGTCTCTGTGACCGCAGAGTGGCATGGTGACATGGCTGTCCCTCGTTAGGGAGACAAAAAAAAAAAAAAATGACACTGCCTTTGTGTGTTTGCGATCACTGGCCCCTAAGAAATGCAAAGAAGTTCTTTTTATTAAAATCAGATAAAATAAAATTTTGAAAAATCAAACAATAAAATAGGCAAATAATTAAAGATAAAATAAAATGAAAGAAAATTTGTGGAGATGCCCCTGAAAGTTGGCATATTTCTTCACGTACCCCTAAAAGGCTAAAACCCTAAAACACAGGCGTATCGTTAAATAATAAATACCCCTGAAACTTTGCGAAGTACCCCACTCGGCTATTGGCCCGTGCATTGTTTCATATGCCCCTACTGGGCCCTCTGCAACTTCTCCATATGCCCTGGTACGTCGCACCCCTTGGTGGAAAACTTTCTACATGCCCCTACTGGTACCGGGCAAGTTCTCTGGTTGCCCCTCCACACGTTCGCCTCTGAAGCAGCAACATCCAGTCAGATTTTTCCACGCTACACACCCTCCATCTTTTTTAGTTTTTTTTTCTTCTTCGTGAAATGATAAAATGAGATAGCCACCATTTTATTTTTTTATTTTTTTCACTGACGCTTCCTTCCTTCCGGCCGAAGGATCCCTGACCAGCATTGATTACTCCAACAACGTGGACGATTGACTGTCCGCTTGCCTTACTTCCTCGGAAGTCCTCCTTTCCTCTCAGATCATTACTGTATGACATGTCAGATAAATGATTTATGCGTGTCATCCTTGCGCAGGGGCCATTTGCTAATTTACCCTTCTCCGTATCGTTCCAATTTTAACGGATGTCCCGAAGGACCCTGTCAGATAAATGATAAAAAGCAAGAAAGGTAAAAGAAGCCACTGAAGATGCAAAATCGGATTACGCCCGCCAACATTACGTGACCTGTGATGAAGCTAGGCCTGCTGGCTGGGAACTCTGCCTTCTCCTCCCTACTTCTGAGTTGTGCGAGTCTTTCCTTTGTTTTGTTTTTTCGTTTTTTTTTGCTTCATCGCAACATGACCCCTTAGAATCTCTTCCATTCTTTTTTTTTTTTTTTTTTTTTTTTTTTTTCAGAATCTCTTCCATTCTGACCTCCGCTTACCTTGACTTTGTGTAAGCCCCAACCCATAATCCCTA